GAATGTCCTGCCAATGATCCAAATTGTGCAAAGACGCCACCAACGGAATGTCCTGCCAATGATCCAAATTGTGCAAAGACGCCACCAACGGAATGTCCTGCCAATGATCCAAATTGTGCAAAAACGCCAACGGAATGTCCTGACAATGATCCAAATTGCACATCAAAAAAATGTGATCCAGCAACAGATCCGAATTGCGGACCAACTCTACAATGTGATCCAACCAAAGATCCATTGACATGTAAACCACCACCACCACCAAAATGTGATGCCTCACCAGCGGAATGTGCAGGTATAAATAGTTCTATTATAGGTTAAATTATCAACCAACCAATTTTAAAACCTAACTTAAATCTGAATCTAAAATAGGCAAAACTCCAACATTTACTATTCCGGACGAAACAATAACTCCTCCTCCAATGGATCATAAGAAAGGGGAGAAACCTACTCCGATTAATTTGATCGTTATTACTACCACATATACTACAACTATACCAGGATACACAACTACTATTACGACAACAAATAATAAAGGTATGAATTTTTTAATCAACCTTAAGAACCGGAAAGAAAATTAACTGATCTAATATTTGTTTGGTATAGGGGAGCAAATTACATACGCTACATATGTAAGTATATAAAAATTTTTTCATTTCGAATTTTCTTTCTTTGTATTGAGATGCTTATCCGATTTTTTTTTTTAAAAAAAAAAGATTCCTCCATCCACGGTGGTAGTAGTTAAAAAAGTAACCAAGCCCGCAGCAATTGACCAATCAGAAGTTCCAGATATTGGAAACGTATTATTAGAAAGTCAAGGTTTATGGGGGATATTTTTGAGCTTCGCTTTAGTATGCATTACAATAGTTTACATGGTATTTGCATAAATGTAATTAGATGTTTCTAAAATATTGGTATTAGTGACTAAATAATATTTAGTTGTTTAATTTATATAATAATCAAATATCTATTTTGGAAATTTGCGATTAATTCTTGAGAAAACCTTCCTTTTTTTCGTTTGATCACATGTATGTTTACATGATGAACAATCATTGTAATTTTAAATAGCTTAAAATAAATATGTATATCCATAATATTAAATCTTTGTTCGTAACTTTCTGCTTCAACCAACATCTGGTTGGTTGTGCAATATTTAAAAGTTTGAAATGTCGATCGGTTACAAAACGCCCACAAATCATGTGATTACTGATTATAAATTTCTGAATTTCAAATGAATTGGTTATTTTATTATTTCAAATTAAAACGATACATTCGAAATAATTTATAATAATTTTTTCTTTTGATTATTTTATTTATTTGATGGTATCCTCAAAAATTCGACTTACCTCGTAAAACGCAAATGCAGCATGAATAACTCGAAAAGAAATTCATCGCTTTTATCGACTCAATTGAGTTTGCAAGAAGCAAAGGTAATAATAATATTAGTTATCTTTCCTTGTCTAATAATCATTTATTTATTTAATTCTTTAATTAGCAATTACAAGATGATGAAATCGAAGCTATAAAAGGCAAGTACTGATTTAGAATCAATTAGAAAAAAGGTTGTTTGGTTAAATTCTAAATTGATTAATCTTTTTATAGCAATATATATGGATGATTTTGAATCTGTTACGACACATAGCGTTTGGAAGCAGGTGAGTTCACACTTCATCAATTCATCAATTCATTTATTATTATAGTTATTCACAAATTTTTTTTCATATAGGTTGTTCCAACAGGTCATGAATTTAAACTTCATTTGTGTCCGCACGAAGAAGAATTAAAGGAACATGTACGCGTCGACTTACATATAAAGTATATATGATCTAAATTTCTTTTTACCTCTTTGTTTAATTTAATTAATCATCTGTTATTAAATTAATATGTTTATAAACAAAAGATTCCCAAAAACCTACCCTCGTGTATCTCCAGAAATTAAAATTGAAAACGCTCAAGGACTTTCAACAACAAAATTAAAACAACTTCAAGTTGAAGTCAATAAAAAGTCGAAGGAAAATGTTGGTCAAGAAGTTGTTTTTACGATAGCGGAGTTTGTAAAAGAATTTATTACAGTGAATAATAATGGCATACCGAGGATAATTAAGCAACCGTCTTTTCATGCACAAATGTTGAGTAGAAATGAACAAATGTCAAAGGTTGAAATTTGATATCTAAGATTGCTCGTTTTTTTTTGCTTTCCTGATTAAAATCTTTGAACGCGGGGGGTTTTTTTTAGGTTCAACACGAAAAGGAAAAGGAAGAAATTATTAAAGCTAAACAAATAAAAGAGCAAGAGAAAATAAATGAAAATTTGACTTTATTACAAAAGATTGAAGAAGAAACTCAAAGGCAATTGGCAAAGAAGGAGGAAGAGAGACAAAAGAGAAAACAATTGAGATTTAAAAATAGTCAGGATTTAAAGATGGGCATTGATTATAATTCAATGCAGTTTACTATTGTTGATTTTGATTCATTGATCATGTTGAATCCTGATGATTCTCAGGTATTTATACTGAAAAATTATTGAAAAGAAAACCTGATAATTAATTAATTAATTAATTATATTTTTGTTTTAATAGTGTGTACCTTTTAAATCTGTAATGCTTGGTCCGTCTATTGGGAAAGGTATGCCGTTGGTGATCGTCGTGGTATCATGTGATTAAGTTTAACGATTTCACCCTCTGAGCCCCAAATATCTTATCCCACGCCACTTCAAGCCACGTGCACGTCAAATATATATATCTACTATACATACATATCTTTATTTAATAATTGAACCCAATAATATCGTAACTCTAGTTAATAGAAGTTTCATAGTTTATTTATCTGCTATGCTGTCAGAACACAACTTGAAATTTCTTGTATAAATTTGGTCATTGTATATAACATATTCCCGGTAGTAATTGTTATTTTTTTTTGAAAATTTTAGGGCCAATCGGTGTAACATATATGGTCCAGGCTACGAATTTTCAAACCAAAGGATCATCAACATCCACTTTGAGGCATGTTTTAGTCCTTAAAGATATTATAATAACAGAATCGCATTATTTAGATCTGGATGGCAAGAACAAGGTGAGTCAAAATATCCTTTTTAAAATTTTAAAAATCTTATATTAATACACAATCTCCTTTTAGCTTGAGGAAATTGAAAAGGATCTTGATCGGTTGAAAAGGTTACGTCATCCAAATATAGTTATTATTTACGAATCCGAGCTTAAAAGGTGTCCACAGACCGGATGGAATTTATATATCCTCATGGAATATGCAAGAGGTGGAACTCTTGTCGATTTATTGAAAAAATGTGGAGTTGTGAGATTATCGTTGGCAAGAGAATATATGAAGCAATTATTGACAGCCTTGGAGCATATACATAACAACAATTTTATACATAAAGGTTAATACAATTGGATTTACTTTTGTAAATATGTTTTAATTGTGGTTCAAAATATATCTGATATTGCCTATTTATTTAGATATCAAGGCTTCTAATGTATTGTTTGTAGAAGTTCCCGGAACAGACGATTTCATTGCCAAATTATCTGATATCAATTATCACAGGAAATTGTTAGGTATTGTTGATGTCAATGCTTGTGATCACTATTCCTTTAGATTTAAATTATAATAATAACATATAATTAAATTTTAGATATGCACAATAATTATCCATTCACTCAAAATTCATACTCGGAAGAAATGAATAGATGGTCAGTATTAACTTTGATGAAGCGCATATTTTCTTTAAATAACTTTGAATATTTTAATAATTAGGCTTTCTCCTGAACAAGAATCAAGATCAGAAGTTTATTCTAGGTAAATGTTATGAGTATTTTTTTTTTAAAAAACAAATTAAAATTAAAATAATTTTTTATAATTTTATCAATAGAAAAAATGACATTTGGTACATGGGTGTAATCTTCGTACAAATGTTATTTGGATTAAAAGTGACTCTAGATTATGATTCTTTGGACAATCTCCTTAGTTCTTGTATGTTCATTATCATCATCATCTGAATTTTATTATATTTATTTGAAACATCAATTTAATCTTTTATTTTCTAGCTAAACATGAAATACCGAATTCTGTAAAGGATATTCTCAAAAGCATGCTTCAAATGTATGGTCAATTAATAATTTTATTGTCAGCTTTCTTCAAACAGGTTTCAACTTATTTTTTTTTTTATCACTAACAAAAAATTTTTAGAGACCAAAAAAAAAGACCAACTCCGCTAGAATTACTGAATAATTCTTTCTTTAATGAGGGGATCCCTTTTTCCTTAAAATTTATGATGTCACAAGGTTTGTTTTAATATTTGAATTTACAAAAATTCGTGTTTTGCTGATAAATTCAAATATTATTAATAGGTCAGCAAAGTTCTGCATGTGCACTTAGAGAAAATTATAATGAATTAGTCAATGACCATTTATCCCATTATGCCATATCACCACCTACATCGATTCCAAACTCTCAGCCTTTTTCGTTTTCAAGATATAAACTTGATTTCGAAGAGCTTGCCTTTCTTGGCAAGGGTACGTTTTATGAAGTAGTCTGTTTACTACTACTTAATTTACTACTACTGTTACTACTGCTGCTCTGCTAATTAAATATAATATTAAATAAAGAAAAATTTTCTTTTAGGCGGATTTGGTGAAGTTGTTAAAGCTAGGAATAAATTAGATGGAAGGTATGTTACGATAAATTTATTTACTATAAAGCATATTTTAAATTTTTGCATCATTTTAGATTTTATGCGATCAAAAAAGTGTGCCTTAATCCGAATGATATCGAGAAAACGAAAAAGATTTTGAGAGAAGTTACAACATTATCACGTTTACACCATCAATATGTTGTTAGATATTATACGACATGGTTTGAAGGTATATATATATGTGTATGTATATATGCAAATGTTTTATATTCTATATAAGCATTCGTTAAAAGTTTCATTTAAATAGATTCTGATAACAGTTGGAATGATACCGAATCATTTAGCGAAGAAATCTCGGCAATAAACGATGAAGAATCAGAATCACTTTCTTCTAATGCAATAGATTTTCAGGATTTGGATGAATTTGATTTGATGTTGGAAGCATCTTCCAATCGTGGATATTCACAAATACACTTTGAATCTGATAGTGATGATGAATTTGAATTACAAAATGGTGATTTGACAAAAGGGGGATTTGGTGTTAGAAATAGAACTCCTGGACCTGGAAAAAAGAATAATTCAAAAGAAGCGAAAACAAGAATTCTTTATATACAAATGGAATATTGTGAGAATAAAACGTTGAAAGATATCATTGATTCGGGAATGAGTGAAGATGAGGGATGGAGGTAAGTTTAAGTATTTTAATTATAGATTAATTCTGATTTGGTGGTTAATATTATTATTATTTGAAAAAAAAATTATTTTTTAAATATAAATAAAATAATAGAATTTTTAGGCAAATTGTTGAAGGACTTGGTATTTTTTGATTTTCTTATTTATGTATCCGATGCATAAATCAAAGCTAATTTCATCTTTAATTGTTTTTAGCTCATATTCACAGACAGGTATTATTATTTTAAATAAAATTTTATTAAAATTATTAATTCATTATTACATATCATTCCTATTAATTATTGTTGTTATTCTTATTTTACGATTAGGGAACGGTAATTAATTAATTAATTTCATTCGTATAATTTTAGAATAGTTGGTTTATTCAATCGTTGATTTATTAAACAGATCCATCGTGACTTAAAGCCTAGCAATATTTTCTTGGATGCTAATGGGGATGTCAAAGTAAGTTAATATCTAGGCCTTTATTTTAAATACTAATTGTGATTATTCATTTTTTTTTTTTTAAAAAAAAAAAAAGATTGGTGACTTTGGATTGGCAACGACAAACAATGCTCTATTTGACCCTGGTTCATTTAGAAATGTGGAAAGAATGGGCGGAAGCAATGAAGATTCTATGACCGGAGGTGTGTGAATATATATGTTGATATTTTTGATATATTTATTAATTTGATAAATGTTATTTTCTTAAAATACATTAGGCATCGGTACAACTTTATACGTCGCTCCGGAGGTCACCAGTAGCGCGGTATTTGGTACTCGTTATAGCTATAAAGGTATTCGAAATTTACATGTCATACTTTTTATTTCAAATTATATATACTAATTTTTTATATATATGATATGTATTTAGTTGACATATATTCTTTGGGTAAGCAAACATATTAATCTGCCTGGTATATGTGAAACAAGAGATGATTTATTTGCTTTTCGTATCACTAAATCTCTTGTTTATTTATTATTAAAGGAATAATATTTTTCGAAATAAGTTTCAAGTTTTCTACAGAGATGGAACGACGTGTGGTAAAAATATAATTTTATGTAATTATACACATATCAACTCGTATAAGTTTAGTTTTATATTAAAAATTATCATTATTACAGACAATAATGAATCTACGCAAGCCAGAGACAATTTTTCCAAAAGAATTTACAAATCAAAATAAAATCAAACTGATTCAATGGTGTTTACAACACGATGCTAAAGTTCGTCCTTCAAGTTTAGACATATTGAAAAGTGAATTGCTGCCACCAAAAATTGAAGATGAACATCTGCAAGATTGTATTAGAACAATTGGTTTGTAATTATATATACATTATGATTATTATTTTTTATTTTTTATTTTTTTTTAAAAAAAGCAGTTCCGCGATAAATTGTTAAATATTGATTGAATATTTTGTTGATAAAATAGCGAATCCAAATACACCGTATTATCGAACTTTGATGTCGATTTTATTTTCTCAGTCACTCGATAAATCAAAAGATTATACCTATGATTTTAATTCGGTAACTTAATAAAGTTTTTAATTTTTTAAATAATTGAGGTCGGATATATCTTTAACACCCGAATTTCTTTGATAGGGAAATAATAACTTTGACCAATTAAATGCATTAACATATGTCAGAGTTCGCGATCATATGGTTAGAATATTTCGACACCACGGTGCTGTAGAGCTGAATACACCGTTATTAATGCCAAAATACGATTTTTACGAAGAAGATAAGAAAGCTGTTTACTTAATTGATACTGATGGTGGTCTTGTACAGGTAATTATATGTTTTTAGAAATTTGCAAATTTTATAATGATATCGATAATTGAAGAATTCAATTATTTTAGTTACCCTATGATCTAACTGTTCCATTTACGAGATATATTTCGAGAAATAACATAATGGATCTAAAAAGATATACGTTTGATCGTGTTTACAGGTAAGATTGATACAGCGTTTTAACAAAAAGAAAAGTGTTAGTTCAAACTAAATTATAATCTTATAAAATTTGTTTTAGAGAGAATACAGTTGGAGGGCAACCACGTATAATAAGTGAAGTTGACTTTGATATTGTTCATAGTACACCCGCACCTATGGTAGCTGAAGCGGAGATTTTTAAGATTGTGGATGAAATTCTTCTGGAATTTCCTCCAATAAAATCAGTAAATTATGTATTTTATGTAAATCATACAAATATATTGGAGACAATATTTAAATGTTGTAGAATTCCTGAAGACATAAAAAAGGGAGTTTGTGGACTTCTTGGACAATTAGATAAGAAGTGCACTTTATCACTTATTCGAGCTCAATTAATGAATAAGTATCATTTATCCAAAATGGTATTGGATGAATTAGCATTATTTGATTTTAGAGGTATTTGAATTTATTATTATTCTTTTTTTAAAAACTTCCCATAAATAAATTAAAAAATTTTTTATTTTATTTTAGGTGACTTTGAATTTGTATCGAATTCTCTGGAGAAACTTATGCCGTCTTCCTCTATGAAATCGCGGATAAGAGAAGTTTTTAATGAATTTAAATTGCTGTTAGATTATGCAAAATCTCTTGGCGTTAATCATGAAATAATATTTGTTCCATTACTAGTGTATGTATAAACAACGATTACAATACATATTTTTTTAACCTTGATTTATAATAATATCTTCTTATATTTATATTTATATTTCGTTTGTTTCTTAGGTATAATAATTATTATTACAAGAATGGAATAATCTTTCAAGTTGTAGATGATAATAATCGTAGAGATGTTTTGGCTGCAGGAGGAAGGTACGATTGGTTAATACAACAATTTCGACATCCTGTTATCTTAAGTGGAAAAGGAAGAGGTAGACAACCGATTTATGGAGTTGGAGTTAATATTGCTATGCAAAAAATTGTTCTTTCATTGGAAAATTATCAATCAGCAATATTAAAAATGATTCTATCAAAGAAGATTGAAGATGATAAAAGCTTTTGGACCCCTAAAACGGTATATAAAATATATTATGACGTTTTAATTTATTGATTCATCCTTATTCGGAATTTTTTCTCGTTAGTGTGATGTGTACGTAGCAAGCTTTGGTAAAATATTGTTACAAGAAAGATTGGACCTTGTAAGAGAATTATGGGCCCATAATATCAAAGCTGATTTTATGTACGAGGAACTAACAGATCTTACGCCCGAAAATTTGACGATCAAATGCAAACATCAAGGAATCAATTGGATTGTTATAATGAAACACAAAAGTCAAGATTCTTATACAGCTGGTGCTTCAAGGGATGCTTTAATCACTGTAAAGATAAAAAATTTAATTAAAAAGACTGAAGATGAAGGCAAGTTGCAATACGATTATTGAATCTATTAATTTTGTGCAATCTGTAACTTGTATATCGTTGTTTCATAGTCCCTCGAAGTGAAATATGTGTGAAGTTAAGTGCCGAAATAACGGAACTTTTGAGAGCAGACTTAAAGTATAATAGATATTCTTCAGTTAATCAAGTAGATCATTGTAAGTTTGTTTGTGCTTTTTTTTAAAAAAAAAAGAAAAAGGGTTATAGTTTTTACGATTTACAATTTTTGTTATTTTTAGTATCACCTCACGATTATGCAAACACAAATCTTTCAACTTCACCGGAAGCTTCAAGTCACCAAACGAATTTATCAATAAGTGTTGTTGGGCCTCTGACTACGCCAAAAAATAGTAAAAAAATGAAATTTAAACAGAAAAAGTTACTTATAGACAAAGGTAAAGTAAATTTTTATAGCGACTTAAAAAATAAAAAATAAATAAATAACAATTTTATTTTATTAAAATTTTTTTTTAGCAAATGATAATATATCAAGCATTATAGAACAAATTAAAGGCGGACACGTACCAGTTTTGGCTGTAGATCTAAGCAAAGATTTACTAAGGAAAATGTCAGATTGTAATGTATTAGAGGATGAATCATTCAAGAATAAAAGTAAGTAATCTTTTTTGATCGGAACCTTTAAGCTCAAAGCTTTATTAAAATTTTATTCCTAATTTTTAAAGTATTGGATATTGCGCCACTTCATCAAAAAGAATACGTTCTTGAAGTTCAAGATACATTAAAAAAACAACGCAATCAAGAAGGGCATAAGCATGTTTGGTTACATTCACACAGGGATGACTTTGGAATACTGTATCAATTTTTTAGCTAATCTTTTATTTATTTATTTATTTGACATTTGACATTGTAATTTGTATATTATTTGTATTGAGAAAAGGAAGTATGCCGCAGTATTAATTTGTCCAAATTTATATATATTAAAAAATTTTGTAATGATGACGTGAACGTAAAAATTTAGAACTATAAAAATTCGAATTAACCCGTATTTTACCTGCTCTCGAGAGCCTCAAAGAAGGCTTGGAACACCGCTTTCAACTTTCATATTTAGTAACCTGACACATTTAAATGTGCCACAATTTTTTTTATTAAAGGGGTTTTTTATATTTCCTCGCGAATTTGCGAAAAAATCAATCATTCAACCATGATAGATGATAAACGACAACATATTCTTAACCTTTTACAAAAAAAGAACGATGACCCATATAATAAGCAACTTCTTGTACAGTTTATAAAAGAAGGTGTAAATTATTTCCTTGACATGAATATAGAAGAAAATCAACAACACTTTTTATGTAGTCATAAATACGTCAATATTGTTATAGAATTATTTCCTGCTTTAGTTGTCGAAGAAAAGAATTTCATTATATTCCGAAATCTTTTGGAAAGTCACCTTATAAAGTGTTTTGATTGTGTTGAAGCAATTTATATTGGCACTAAAGAATTATATCAACGGTAAATTCTTTTGAATATTCTATTTATATTTATATATTATAATTTTGTTTTCTTTCATTTCTTTTTATAGCTATAAAACAACATACGTAACGGATTCAGAAATTAAGAATACAGAAATTTTCTTTGAAAGCCTTAGAAAATGGCAAGTAAAACGAATCAAGGCATCATTAACCAAGGTTGCAAATTTCAAAGGAAAAGTTAATATCAATACAAATGGAAACTCATCTTCATCATCTTACGAAAATTATTTACCTATTATTTTTGAATTGCTTTTGAATTTCAAGTATTTTCAAAGTTCCAATATCAATGAACTTTTTATTAGTATTTTGACGTCTCTACAACAACAGGGATATTTTGTTAAACTAACGTATAGATATCTACCTGGATTACTGTTATGTGCTTTACATGAGAATCAAGAAGTTAGACAATGGGCTTGGACATCATTTCAAACTATTAATTATGAGCTAAGAGTTAAAGAATTCAAGTTTTATGAATTCGATGTCGTCATGAACGGAGCTTTACAAAAACTTATCAATTTTGAGTATAAGCAAGGCTCGAAGTATCCTTTTACCAAAAACATTGTAGAATTATGGAAGGGATTTAGAAGGATTCTTTCCCGTTTGGAGAACGAAATTTTATACGACGATTCTTGCTTAAAGTATAACGTCAAAGAAATTTTTTATTCTCATTGGAAAAATTGTACTTATAATCAAGGACCCTTGTTGATTGAATTATTAAAAGCTCTAGATATTCTTTTAAAGAAATTAGGTCAAGATTTTTGGACGAATCATGGGCATTGGAAAATTAAAATCCTTGATGTATTTGAATCTTCTAATTTTCAAGTTCTCACGATTACACATTCAAAGAAAAAGTTTTTATTAGCCTGGATTCAACCTTTCATTATTTCGGTTATATCTTCAAACAATTTTATAACAATTTTGGAAAAGGTATTGGATATCCTTATGAAAGAATCTCAAAAATCAAATTGCGATGATGGTTATAGGATCGTCTGTTATGATACTATTTTAATGATAGTTCTTCAAACATTATCAAAGAATGGTTTTACACATTATAAATTTTATCGAAATTATTCTTCAAGGAGTTCAAAATTTAGAACATTATTTGACAACATTATGATGATATTTTCATATGAGGATATTACTAAAAACATGCGTAGATTGGGAATGACTGGAATGAAAGAAACTTTACTTAATAAACTCAAAGAAGATCGGAGGAGAAGAAATGTGAAACATCCAAAGAGACAAGTACGAATGATCGAAACCCCTGAAAATAAAACGAAGGAACATTGGATGGCACGTTTTCAAAGACAAAAAGACAATGAAGCTCGATTAACGCCAAATTTGAATCCTCTTTATAAGAAAATATTATCATTTGAATTCACCATAAGCAGTGATATTCCGCCGGACACTTATCTACAAGAATATGAAACAATTCCAACCACGTTTTCATCAGCAAGACATTATGTTCAAATATTTGAACCGCTTCTAAACTTGGAATGCTGGCATCTTTGTAACTCAAAAAGAAAATTGAATGACCATGCTAAGGTTGTCATTTTCGTGAATGATATTTGTATGGTTGACGATTTCATAGATGTATCATTTCATTGTGAAGAGCATGATTTGAATCGTTTATCTGAAAACGATTTGTTATATATTTGTTATGAACCTTCAGAGAAAGATTCTGTACGATATAATATCCCACTTATTCACAGCATAGCTATAATCAAAAACCAAAAGTTTTTATTGTATTTAAATGAATCTTCTCATAACGTTCGACGCTTTTTATTTAAAGGTAGTAAATGGATAGCACATCGGATTATGAGGTAAGTATCGAATATTTAATTTCGTAACAATTTTTTTTTAAAAAAAAAAAATTTATATATAATAATTTATTTATAGCTTAACGTCTATTATTCGAGAATATGCTGCCTTAATTGCCATGCAGAAATTTTCATTGAAGGGTCAAATTCTTTCACCAAGAGTTTCTATCGTATCACCATCCGCTCAAAAAATCGAATTTTACAAGAATGACTATCATATTGATGATTACCAAGCAGAAATCATTGGCAATATTCTAGAAAATGATTGTGGATTTTCATTAATTCAAGGTCCACCAGGATCTGGTAAAACGGAAATAATTATTAGTTTAATTTCTGCTTTGAGAGATAGTTCGAATTTTCAAGGAAAAATTCTTGTTTGTGCGCCTAGTGATTCGGTTATAAATATCTTATTGAAGAAATTCAAAGTTGGAACAGGGAATGATATCAGGATTAACTTTATTTGCTTGGGAGATTCGGATCCTAATCTAAATGTCTCTTTGGATTTTTGGGCTGAAAAAATGATGTTTGATATTAAAGGAAATTGCAGAAGAGACATAATGCATTATAGAAGAAAAGTGTTAGAAAGGACGGATGTAATATGCTCCACATTGATTGAAAGCGGGAATGAAATCCTTTCAACTACGGATATTTATTTTGACACGATCATAATTGACGATGCAACTCAAGCAACCGAGTTGAGTTCGTTAATACCTCTAAAATATAATCCAAGGCGGGTTATATTGCTCGGAGACCCACATCAGTTACCGGCAATAATCTCATCAAAATTAGTAAAGCGATTTTCTTATGACCAGAGTTTATTTACTCGTATACAGAAGAATTGTCCGTCATCTACAAATTTGTTTACTATTCAATATAGGATGCACCCGGAAATAAGCAAGTTTCCCAATCAGTTCTTTTATGATTCACTTATTAAAGATGCTGATGGTTTATTACAAAAACGAAATCAACCATGGCATCAGAGTCAACTTTTTTCTCCTTACAGATTTTTCGATGTTAATGAAATAATAAATGAAACCGATTTGACATATGACAATGCTGAAGCAAAGATTATCGCCAAAGCATGTAAACGACTGATAAAAGACTTTCATCAAGTGGATGTAAGTTAAAATTAGTTAAAATGAATCCGATCTATATATTAGGCTTTATTTAAGTTAATTTTAATTTTTTTTTTCCTTTAAAAAAATAGTTTGAAGGTCGAATCGGAATAATCGTTTCTGATAAAAAACAAAAGTTCAATATTTTAAAAGAGTTTACTAAAGATACCTTTATCGAGCTTGAAATCGATACATTAGTAAGTTTTTCTAACAATAACTCGTGACTTTTTTTAACAATTTTAAATTTATCTCGATATTTATTATACAGGATACATTTCAAGGACGAGAGAAAGATATTATAATATTATCATGTTTTTGTCTTTGCAAAGGTGGGGAAAATGTGATATTTGACAAAAATAAAATTAATTAAGTTTATATTTAACTTTAATTAATTTTATATATTATAGAGAAGAATATCGGATTTTTAAACGATTCCAAAGGATTGAATGTTGCACTTACACGTGCAAGATGTTCTTTATGGATATTTGGCTTCTCAAATACTCTTGTGCAAAATGATTCCTGGAAATCATTGATTAAGGACGCTAAGGATCGTGGATGTTATACAGAGGTTTGGCTCATAATTTATTTATAATAACTAATAAAAAAAAAGATTTTTTAAATAATTTTTTATTTTATTTTAAGGCGACTGAAGAAATATTTTCTGTGTTAGAAGAAAATGATGATGCATCTGAAGAAATCTCTCTTTCGATAGATGAAGATGCGTATGAAGATATGTTTATCGAGTTACAAGACGATGATAATATGTCATCTATTCTAGAAGATTCAGAAAAGATAGTTGAGTTAGAAGAAAATATGGAAAATGATGAACCAAATGATCGATTAATGTTACCATCTGGTGTTTATGTTCGACTCAACGATTCGGTTCCGATAGGTGATAATTCTCAATATTTCTCACATCTACCTTACCGTAATCATAATGATTGGCAACCACCAGTCTATCATCAGACACATTCCCAGATCAACGATAATTATAGAAATCATTATCAAAAACCATATAATTATCGAAATCATTTTCCAATTGATGATAATCATCGTCAACGATTAAATAATGCTAGTCGAAATAAATATCCAAGAGATTGGAGAACTGAGCGTGAATTGACAGAAAGAAGATCACGTTCTCCAATAAAAAACGATGTCCAAATTAACGAAAGAGGTCGTTCATCATCACCAGAAGAAGGTCCAAGTCGACATAGAAGATTTCATAATGAAAGAAATTATAATCGTACGTAATATTAAGCTGTGATCCTTCAAAACATTTCATTTGGAGTATGATGGTGGTTAGAGAGCGTCATTATCGGATAGATCCGTATTATTTCTACCTTAATGAAGAAATAACTAAAAGTAATATTATATATATATATTTTATTTCGCGATCATGGTCGGATAGCAAAGTTCATTAATCATTTATGTATATAAAACATCACTGATATTTCATGATAGCATTTTCGCATAATTATATTTAGAATTCACGACGCTTTTCAGTTTAGGCATTTAAATAAATAACATATCAATTAATCAATATATTGATCATTGAAAATTTTAGAGATTTAGTTAATTAACCAATAGAATTTAAGAAAATCATAAGGTAAGGTTACATAAAAAAGTTAATTTTTGACCGGTGACCTATCTTAGTAGTAGGCGGATCCTATAATTTTGAATGCATTGATTTGTATTACTTGTATAGATTTTATATTTCTCTGTCTTTTTGATGCAGATTTGCAGTAATAGTTATATAATTGATAGTTAAGAATAAGAACTGTTTTGACTTAGTTTTGTACAGATTAAACATATTTTGAATACAATATGGTTATTATTATGAATAGTATTAAGAAATTATTGCAAATAAAAACAGCATATTAAAAGTTATAATAAGTAGCTTTTAACTTTGAAATTATCTAAGTGATAATATCAACAGTTTTTATGATAGTGATCAAAAATGTCTTCCATTTATATTAATTAGAAAGTTGGTTAATTTAAGTGAAAATTTTGAGAAATTTCTTTTTCATTTGTCAGAATCCAGTAATATAAATCATATCTTTTAATATAAAATACCATAATATTTGTTAAATTATATTATATTAGTAGATAATTTGAAAATGATAGTAACTTATTATCATGAGTTCTTAGTTATGAAACATCATATAGGAGTTTTGCAATAGAAAAGAAGAAAATTCTAAAAAATTTTTTTTAAGTTAAATTTGAACTTATTTACTAAAAAAATTCATAATTAACTTATATTTTTTTCTACTACAAAGCTTTCATATTATGTTTTATAATTAAAATTGTGATTTCAATAACTCTATCAATAAATTGAAGATAAATTTTGCAATTAATTATAAATCAAAAGGTAAAAATGTTAAATGTTTATAATACATTTATACTGTATTTAGCATATAAAAGGCAGTCATAGAAAAGGGGAAAATCCAAATTTTGGTCAAAATTTATGTTATTAGACCACTTGACTGATTTTGATTATGTGCATAAAATTAGCTTAATAATTAAAATTAACAAAAATTTTGGATTCTCCTTTTTTTACTGACCATCTCCTATATGTTTATAAATCCTATTCAAATAATTTTTTTTATTAAATTTTAAAGATTAAAATAAAATATTATATTATTAAATAAAGGAAATTATAGGTTCATAAGTTATATTTGTTTTTTTATTGTTTTTTAAAAAGAATTCATTTTGAAATAATAAGCAAAAAGTGAAAGTATAACTATCTCTATCAAAGCTAATAAAGTTTTCATTTTATTTTTGTTAGTTTTAAGCATATTTTTTAAAATGTCAAAGGTTTTATCATTATTAAAAACTTGTCTATCTAGTAGAAAAATAATTTTAAATATTTAATCTTTACTTATGTTAAAAAAAAATTTGTTTCAAAATCTATTAAAATTTCAAAAGTTTCAGTTTTTAAAATAGAAATTAAAAAGGTATAGTTATTATTCTACTAATGTTATTTGAATTGTTATTATTTTACTAGAAATAATAGTTGTTATTTGAAAATGAAGCTAAATAGCCATAATAGTTAGTAGCTTTTTAAAATAATTTTTAAGTCATATTTTTAAGAAAAAAAAAAATAATAAAATTTTTTTTTATAATCTTTAATAAATTTAAAATTAGATTAGATTATAAGTTTATCTTAATTTAATATTTATCTGAAAATATATCAACTTAATTTAATTTTCTTAAATTAGATCAAATCAGATTACTGATTAATTCAAAATTCTAATTTTAAATTATTTTTACTTGAACTTAAAGTAAATTTATATATAAATATATTATAGTAAAATAAAAATAATTTTTTTTTATTTTTTTTTATAAACTTATCATAAATATTATATTAATAAGATAATAAAATATTAAACTTATTTTAAATACGTAAAAAAGAATTCAGAATAAAATATTATAATACTAATTATTTATATCTTATTTATTTTAAGTTATTATAATAACAGAAAAAAATATTTTAAATAAGAATATTAGACCAAAATGATTAAAACTACTATAATATAATAAAAAGATATATAATAGAATGTATAGTTAAAAAGTAATTAATTTATTTAAAATAACATATAAAAAGTCATTATTTATTTTACTAGTAAAAGAAAATATTTTAAAATCAGATATAATAAACTATAATAAAAATATTTTTGATAAATAAAATTGATATTTTGAATTTTTTGAATTAGTGTAAATTTTAATCTTTTAAAATTATTATAAAAGAATCATAAATATTAATAATAATATTTATTTTATAAATAATTAAAAATATTATTAAAGAAATCATAATCTATTCTAATATAAATAATAAATAAATTTATCATTTTATAAAGCAGATAATAAAAAATATGAAAGTAAAATTTCTAATCTAAATAAAGTTTTAGCTATATGGGAGGTGGTCAGTAGAAAAGGGGGAAATCTGAAAATTTTAGTAATTTTAGTTACTAAGCTAATTTTGTTCACATGACTATGATCAGTGAAGTGAACTAATTAAAAAAATTTTGACCAAAATTTGGATTTCCCCCTTTTCTACTGACTGCCTCCCATATAATAAATAATCTAATCTTTAATTTATATAATAAAAATTAAAAATAATTAATTAAATATAATAAATTAAAGTTTGTTGATATAGTAAAAATTTAAAAGAAATTATTATTTATATCATTTTTCAAAATATAATTAAAGACTTTAAGTAAAAATATGATTCAATTGATCATATCATTTAAAAAAATGAAGATTTAAATTATATATTTAAATTTAATAATTATTATAAAAAAATTAAATTTTTTTTAAGGATTATCAGATAGAAATCTTCAAATGAAAGTTATTATTAGTAATAAAAAAAACATTAAAAATATAATAAAGTTTAATAATATAGAAAAAAATTTATTAAAATTTGGTTTTTTTTTAATATACACTATCCTATTAAAAGTATCCAGTCAACTAATAAAAATTATATTTTATTATTAAATTATTAAATTATATTAAATTATATCTTGTGAGCTACTAAATTTTTGCTGTATTTCATCAAAAGAAAGTCAATTACTTTTTTTAATAATCTTTGAAAGTTTAGTATGATTATTGTTATTTATGAAGAATGGTCTTCCCGTCCTTTTCGCTGTTAATCTAGTATTAAAATTTTTTATATCGAAAAATTGTATTGATAATAGTGCTTTTTGGAATTTTAAGAACATGACTAATAGCTTTATGAGTTCTTCCTTCTTTTCAAAGACCAATAATTTATTCGCGTTCAAACTCACTCAATTTATGAGTTTTTCCCATTTTAAATAGTGCAGTAAACCAAAAAAAAATAAAGATAGACAATAATAAAATTGAATGTTTTGTTTATTTTTATTGCCAAATCTGATGTATTTATTATAACACAATATAAATACAGTCGACCCCCTCTATAATCACACCCCTTGAGATCATGAAATGGTGTGACTATATGAAGGTATGCTTATACCAAGGGATTTATTATTATAATCACTTATATGTAAAAAATATTGTTAGTGTGATTATATGTAAAATTTT